GCACAATCTGATTCTTTCCAAAGCGCATGAAGAACACTAGTCGCTTGTGGGCCAAGACACCAGAAATCAATCTTGCATCCTGACTCGTTTCATCTGTATTTCCTCTGTTTCCTTCTTTTAAGTTCTCTTATGCTCTGTGTGGTTGATTAGATCCATATTTGGACGTACAGGAAAGACTGGCATCTTGGGACTTAGGAGCCTGTATAAAATGTAAGCCTTGCTCTATGCTTTACAGCAACAACTGAAAACCCAACAATCCCTGAGCATTTTCCTGTTCATGGTTAAACCCCACAGTGACTCCCCATCCCTAAAACTCGCCAAAACCAAAGGCAACTGCCCTAAAGCAGGATGTTTACTTCTTCCTGCCGTCTGTTTCCCACCTGAAATCACAAGAAGACAGATTCACAGCAAAGGAAAACAGTGGGCATTTTGCCACTCTTTGTCTTACCCACAGTGCAACGCTTTAGCTCAGCTCCTTGTTAAGGACCATAGTGTGCAGTTGTGAGGTCACAATCAATAACAAGTGAATCAAAGCCACTGTCTATTTGTCCTCCTGTTTTATCAAAGCTGGTTACATAGCCTTTCCACCCAGGAAAGCAGTTAAGGCTGCTTCTCAAAAAGTCAATATAATATTTGGACTATATCTCTGTTTCTGATACTCATTTTCATTTTAAAAAAGCTAAAGAGAAAGCTAAATAAATGTTACCCTATACAGACACCATTGAACTTGAAAGGGCCTCAGTACCCACATATTCCAAGCACTCATTTTTCAGGTAAAAAACTGAAATGGAGAAGTAAAGTGACGCGGTCACAGGGCTGGTGGTGACAGAGTGATTGAGGGAGCTCTTGAACCCCAAGTCCTCCAGGCCCCTTCCCCAGGGCCGGTCACCTTCCACCACCCCACGGTGGGCTCCTGGGCCACCTCAGCACTTGATTCTCCTAATTACAAGAAGGGACATGAATAAATACATTGCCAAATACCCATGGCCCTGTTCTTGCACGTGGCTGGAGAGTCATAAAGACTTGGGGGGTGCAGCCTCATCTCCACACAGCTGGGTTTCTTCCCCGGACACTGGAGACGGGTCGGATCAGAGAATTCTCTGCTGGGGGGGCGGGGGGGGGGCGCACTTTGTGCATCATAGGGTGACTCTCAGCGATCCTGGCCTCGGCCCACTAGATGCCAAACACATCCCCGCACCGAGTTGAAACCCAAATTTCCCCAGATGTTGCCAAACGTCCTCTGAGGGCGAAACACCCCATTGAGAACCACCCTGTCGCCACGCCCGCTCCGCATTTATCAGCCCTCAGGAAGCCTTCCTTGGTCAGACGCCAGAATGCCGGGGCTTCCACTCCGTCACCTGTGGAACGGAGACGGGGCTCCCCTGCCTGCCCCTCGGGAGGACAAAGCAGGGACCCCACTCAGTCACAGAAAGGATCAGGACGCGGGCGCTTTCAGAGAAAGAGCAAAAAGCTAATGGTGAAGTGAGATGAAGCGAAACAGAAGGAGAGCGGGAACAGCAGGGACACGGCAGAACGGGGAATGGAAGGAAGGAAGAGGCCAGCAGACACAGGGGTTAGCATTCCGGTATCTGCAGGACACAGCCTCCCATTATCAAATGAAGTGGCATGTTCTCATCAGGCACAATTTTTTTTAAAGGCAACTCAGTCTGAGAAAAAGGGTCAAGAACTTTCTCCCAATTCACTGCGCGGCCTCGGGAAAGGACCATTGTCCCCAGATGACGGAGTCCTGGGGGAGTTCTGTGTGAAGCTCTTTGTTAAGGCCTGGTGTGCTTAAGGCCGTAAAGCCCTTTAAAACAGCTTACCCTGGAGTTCCACCCACTCACTGTTCCTGGGGCACAATGACTCTGAACGAAGTTCTGTAACAACAGGCCTTTGAAATAACATGACTCTTCCCAGCCAGGGTACAAATCGATTCTCTTTAACTGCTGCTTCCCAGAAACCTAGTTAATCTCAAACACCCCCCAGGGAACAGAAAAGCTCTGGGTATTTTTTGGCTGGTATTCTCCTTGGGGTGTGCAGGTGGCTAGTTGAATGGAAGCTCTGGATGGGACCTGATTCCAAAATATGTGGATAACAACACACGTATTTCTGAATCGGGTCAAGGTAACATTTAACAAGCCTCTGACCTCTCGACTCTCACAGTACCTCCTCTCCCACATGTGCTTAAAAAGATGCATTAGAACAATGTTCTTTTTAAAAATGTATCATCATTGTTAGTTCTCATGGAAAAACCAAATTAACAACAACAGCAACAAACCCCCTCTAACCCTGGGGAACTTTAAAGTATGCAGGAGTCACTTGAGGATATTGTGAAAATGCAGATTCTAATCCAGGTCTGGGGTGGGGCCCCGAGATTCCACATTTCTTTTTTTTTAAAGATTTTATTTATTTATTTTTAGAGAGGGAAGGGAGGGAAAGGGGGGGCGGAGAGAGAGAGTGAGAGAGAGAGAGAGAAAGAGAGAGAAACATCAATGTGCGGTTGCTGGGGGCCGTGGCCTGCAACCCAGGCATGCACCCTGACTGGGAATTGAACCTGCAACACTTTGGTTTGCAGCCCGCACTCAATCCACTGAGCTATGCCAGCCAGGGCCTTCCACATTTCTAACGAGCTCCCCAGCGGTGCTGAAACTGCTGGTCCGTGGCCACACTTTGAATAAGAAGGCACTAAGTCTAAGCCGTTCTCCAGAATCATCTAGCTCATATTACTGCGCTCCTGGCCGAGCGTTCTGGAGCTGACCGTCCACTGCCTGTCCACCAGGGAAAGTCCAGATTCTCTCGGGAGGAAGTGAAGCCCTTCATGCCACAGCCCCGATCTGGCTTCAGCTCCGCCGACTCCCTTCACCCCACCCTGTGTAGTGTGAAGCGGCCACACCGATGCTGTGTTGTCCCCTGAAAGGTCATGGACACTGCCCGTCCCTGGTTTGGTCCCACTGTTCCCTCTGCCTGGATGGCTCTACCACCGACATCTTCACACACCCCCGCTGTGGGGCCTGCCTCAGACGTCACCTCCAAGGAGCCTCCCCCAAGCCCTCCAGGAAAAAAAGCATGGGCTCTACTCGCGACACCTTGCGCTTGGCATTCAAACATCTACATTGGTGTGTCTGGTTTGCTGGAAAGTTACAGCCCATCCAAGAAAATATAAAAACTACCTGGAGCCTATTTGGGGAGTTAAAAAGACAGTTTCCAACCTTCTCATCCCTGGGTTCAGGAGAAAGAGTCCCTCGGTCAATCCTCTGAGTTAAAGGTTCCATGGGATTCCTTCCTGCACTGTGGCCCCCACGTGAGCACTCACCACCCGTGTTTCAGGCGCTCTGACGAATGTCCCGTCTACGCAGGAACACCGCTGCTACGGCGGCGGCCCCACCCCCGCACCACGGATTTTTCCTGAGTGTCTCCAAGATTGTTCTCATCAGCATAAACTATCTTTCATTGTAAAAACCAAACACAATAAACGCCCCCGTACCCAGACCATTCTCCATCCCATTTCTCTGTTCCCCTTTACAGCAAAACCACTCCCCAAAGTTGTCAAAGTCGCCATCCCTACTTCCTCCCCTTCCATCCTCTCTTAACCCACATCTGCGAGGGGTCGGGGTCGAAGAGCTGCAGACGCAATGGGGAACGTCCCAGGCTCCTCTCACTTGATGTGCGGGTGGCAGCAGCCCTAGCTGCTCGCTCCTCGCCCCCGAAACCCCCTCTTTGCTTGTCTTCTGGAACATGAGCTCTTTCTTCTCCTTCCTGCCGGCTGCTCTGCTCCAGCCCCCTCTGCCTGACCCCCTCCTTCCCTGACTCCAAACACTGGACAGAAGCAAAGCTCTGGTTCAGCGCTGCCGGGTCAGAAAGCCCCGTCCTGCCGCCCCGCCTGAATCTAACTGCCCACCTACTTCTTGGCACCTCTCTCCTCTCTGTCTGCCTTTCGTCCCCAGGGGTCACATGCAGTCCCACAGCTTTAAATGCCGCGGACCCACTAAAGATGCTCACGTGCGGACCTCCAGTCCCGCTTCTCCCTGAAATCTGGGATCGCCCGATGACCTCAAAATCAGCACGTCTAAGACTGAGTTGCTCACACACACTCCCCACCGACCTGTCCCTGCGCCCCCGTCCGTCTTGTCTCGTAAAGCTGCCGTTCCATCCTGTGCCTGCTCCTATGCCCATGCGCACAGTCTGTCCGCCACGCTCGCAACGCTCTGCAGAAGCCGAGTTCCTCTAGGGAAACCTCGAGGCCACCTACGCTCATCCTCTGCCTGGATCCTCTTAAGGGGCCTAACCAGGCTGCTTGCTGGCTCTCTGGCCCCCACTGCCACGGCCAGAGCCAGAGCCAGCCTTTAAAGATATCAGTCGGGTCTAGCACTAGTCTTCACAAAACCTTCTCAATGCTCACCTTCGTCAGAATAAAATTCAAAGTGCTTCCCATGGCCTTTGAGTCCCCACGTGGGCTGGGGTTCCTACCATGTTACAAATCGTATCCCCTAGCAACCGCTACTTCACTCGCCCTGCTCCCCCCGCAACCCCTCCCAACTGCTCCTGCCTCACAGCCTTTCCCGTATTCTCCTCGCCCTGGGTATCCTTTAAGCCTCCCCAGGTGTCTGAACCCATGTCACCAGATCAGAAAGCGCAGTCCTAGTACCCAATGTGAGTCCAACTCTCCCTCAGGGTCCAGCCCCCTTGACCTACCGCATCCTTTTTGGGTGGGTTCTTTGTCTCTCTCTGCTAAAAGTCTGGCTTTGCAAGAGCTGGGACTTATTTACTTTGTCCGTGGCTGTACCCCTTAACACAGGACCCGGCAAACAGCAGGCACTCAATACATTTTTACTGGATGAATCAATGAGTATCATTGGATAATCAAAGAATAATTGCACGTGCTTATACGTTACGGGGAAACATGGCGAAACTCCAAAGGAACAAAACTCCACTTGGCTACGTTCCCCCCAGGCGAAGAGTCGCGCCGCGATGCTGGAGCTGCAGAGAGAAGACATACTCACTTCCTGACCACCGCCTTGGACTCCGACGAGCTGGGGCTCCCGTCCTCTTCCCAGCTGGGGCTCGTCAGGTCCCCGTACCTTCACAGACAAAACGGGGAAACCCAGTCAGCGGGGCTGCAACGCATCACCGCCACCCAAGCTCTGCCCCCAGATGACAGATATTCTTTGCAGGGGTAAGTCGGGAAAGAAATGTTTATGAAATCGCGTCCAAAATGATACTGCATCATGGAGATTTACTAACTGGGTACACTGGTATGTTCTAGACAGAAAAAGGACAATGAATCGCCCTACTTAAAACTTTCTCTTAATATTTAACACTTCTTTGACTTTTTAACAAATGAAATTAGACTTTTCCTCTCAGCAGAAGGATCGGCTGTTCCACGATCCCTGATGAACTCTCGAGCACGCAGCCCGACGCCCCCACGCCCCTGCTGTGTCTATCAGAACGGCTTTCACGCCGCGTCACACACGCGCGCACAAAACAACTCATCGGCTGCACACTGCCCCTCGACTGGGGTTTCTTCCAGGGTGAGTCCGGCTGGAAGAGGGTTACGGAGATAAACCTGGGCCCTCGGGTCACGGCTGAGACAGAGACAAGGACTGAAGAACAGAGCTGTCGTGTCTCAGAGCCCGGGGAGCAGCCGTGGGCACGCAGCAGCGGCTGGGCTCACGGAGACACAGCAACTAGCGACCCCAGCACCGGGGCCAGTGGTCCAGAAAGCAACAGGTGCTTACGTTTCTACGTCCGGCTCACGACGTACTCAGAATTTACTAAACAATCCATCTGTCCCTGATGACACTGTCAGCTGTTCTTCCAACTCTGTATGCGAGCCAGCCTGTTTCACACAACTGTATCATATTCTATTTGGTTCAGAATGTACATTTAGTTAATTTACTTTGAATTCTTTGAGAATCTTTACATTAAAATGGGAAGGAGGAGGGGAGGGCTGGGTGTGTGGGTTAGGATGGGAGTAAAAGATAGAAAATTGTACTGCAACAACAAGTAAAGTAAAAAATATTTAAAAAATAAATTAATTAAAAGAATTTATTGCTTTAAAAAAAGAATCTTTACATTAACTTATAATGCTTAGGCTATTTCTCTAGTTTATCTTCCCATCAATGAAGAACTCGGAGATCCCCTGGAGTTTCCCAAGCTGGTAGTCTGTGCCAAAGTTTTGATAATAGAAATTCCACAATTGGTGCATTTACTATTAGAAAGAGCACACTTTTATCTTCTACTAGTGGGATTCAAGGCCTCACAACCCTCACGGTTCCTGGTCCCTAGGATTTAAAATGCTTTTAAAAATAAAGGTCCACCATCTGGTTTGACCAAACGCCAGCCCGTCTGGCCTCCCAGTCACGCTGTCCTGGTCGGTTCAGTGAATGCCCTCAGGCACTAGCCCGCCCCACACACGCACACAATCCCCTGCTCTCTCTCCAAGCCCATCAGCCTCATGGACTCCTTGGCCTCCTGAAAATATTTTCCACCGGCCTCCACCCTCCCTGGTCGTCTTCACTCTGCCCTGCACCTGCTATTTAGAGGGCTTCCAGGGCTGCCCTGTGCCTTTCCTGAGATAAGAACTCCGCCAGATGACGATTTGCTCGCGCCCACGTGCGCAAGGCGGGGATGGGAAATGAGGCCCCTGGTAAATAAACAGACTGGGGCTTCTGGCTCTCCCGTGGCCACCCGCGCAGCGAGCAGGCCCTCCTGTTCTCTCGCAGTCCGCTTGGTGGTCGGTGTGAGTCGGGAAGGCCAGGGCGGGTGCTGTGAGGAGTGGGCTCTCCGAGGGCCACCGTACCGCCCACCTGTGTGACCACAGCAATCCGCACACTCTTCCTGCATATCTTCCACAGCTAAACGCGGGACTTAACCTTCGCTTTGGTCATGTGCTGGGGTAGTCCATTCATCCTCTCTCTGCTGACTCTGGAAATACCACGTCTTTGCTCTTCCCACTGGGAGCCGTGGGAGAGAGAAATAGAAAGGGAAACCCCTTACACGGAAAAGACACACATTTTACTGTGCGTCTGTGTTCCTGTGATTTTTCTCTTCAGAGGTGTTTGGACTAAAAGTTTCCCGATCTTCCCACTCCTTGTCTTTGCCTTAGCTTCTCAAACTCTGCGGCCCTTTCTCTGTGTTTTCCAGACTCGGGGCTGAGACGCCGGCTGGGCGGCGCCAACCCCTGCCCCGTCCTCTCCCACAGTGACCTGCCACAGGAGCAGCGGGCCGTGCCGGGGAGGACTGCGCAACCAGGACCTACCCTGGGGAGCAAAGTCCTCTCTCATGGGTGAAGCTGGTACCATTTTCTCAGAAAGCGAGCTGACAAGACCACACAGTTGTCTCTCCCAGCTGTCAGAGTGTCCCAGGCTCATAACCAGGACCAGACTGATTGATTGATTGATTGATAATAATTGGGAGACCAGTAAGAACCACTGACAATAACGCGCATGTGGCAGAGGTCCGCATGGCGAAGGTGCTCGGGCTCGGAGCTTGCAGATGCTCCTAGCTCTTCGCCGGAGCCGCCAGGAAATCCTTTGATGGTGCCTTTAGAGTGTGTCCCGGATCTAAACACTTCTCCTCACTTCCACCCTGGCTCAACCTACCGCATCATTGACCTACAGCAGTGCAACGGCCATCTAACCAGTCCGCTGGCCTCTGTGCAGCGGTCACAGGATGCTACTCAGTGTCCATCAGCTCACGTCACTGCTCGCTTCAAAACCTCCCGGGGCCCACACCTCACTCGAGAAGAGGCCAACGTCTTTCCTGTCTCACAGGGCCCTTAGCAGCCTGCTCCTGACACCTCTGACCCTGTGTCCTGCATGCCCTCCCTCAGCTGCCCTGCCTCCTTGCTGCTCTGCCCACACCCGGGCATCTCAGCCTCAGCATCCTGCACTCCCCGCTGCCTCTTCCCACACCTGGGCCAATGGCACGCTCGTCTGCCGGCTCCTTCCGGTCTTTGCGCAAACGTCACTTCGCCAGTGAGGCCTTCTCAGGCCACCCTGCTGAAAACACCAACCAACTCTAACACCCCTGCCGTTAACACCTGCGCATAGACTGTGTGATTCATGTACCTACTGTGGTGGTTTTCCATTTAAACATAAACTCCGAGAGAGGAGGATTTTTCTCTTCTGCTCACTACTCTTTAGAACTTAAAACGGGCCCCCAACAGGCATGTAGATGGCCATTTGCTGGGGTCAGTGAGAGTGGTTTAGTGGGGTTCCCTCAGCAGACAGGAAAGTAGGCCTCCCGGCTACCAGGTTCTGCGAGGCACCATCTGCGCATACAATGGTTGTACCCCATCTGTGCCTGCATTTCTGAAGGTTTGGGAGCATAATAAGGCTTTAGGATAGCTGCAGCCCTTCCAAAGATCTATAATTAAAATGCAAAAGAAAAGAAGTTTTAAGATTCTTATTTAAGCTAAGATCTTGAAAGCGCAAGCAGTATGAAAATGCAAAAAAACAAAGTACATACAATTTTACAAAAGAGACCTTGAGAGGTGAGATAAAATTGAAGTGCCTGTATCCCTCTGCAGTTTAACGGGCTGGGGATTACTTGCCCCTGAACTTTTATCATTAAGGAGAATTAACGCTTTACAGTGAAGAAGCCAGGCCAGCTTTGGAATCGAGACCGCTTTAATGTTCAAACCAGGGTATCGGAGAGTCAGTTTTACTAGATTAAGAGTATCCCTTTGATGTTTCCTGGACCCTCTCATAGCTTCCCACCAAAAACCAAAGTCAAGTTCAATTCATTTACTCCGTGGGAGTAAATAAAGGGTGTGTACCTGTGTGTAATTAATGGCAGTAGAAGAGCTACAGACGAACCTGTCAACAGTGTCACCTTCAATCTCTGCAAAGCCTCCCGAGGATTTGAGATCAAAGCCCCAGCCTCCTAAGAAGGCTGAGCGAGGAGGACCGCCCTTCTTTGAATGGGAACTCAGAAAACACATTAAAGCACAAGCTGTCAGAATGACTTTTGACATGGTTGTCTCTGCATCACAAGGCACAAGACGGACTTACAAATACCTTCTAAAGTACAGCCTTGAGCAATGATTTACTGCGGCCTAAAAATTACTAGAAAAAGAAAAACCTACATAATGTTGCACTGGTTGCTAATATTTAAACAGGAAACAGGTTTTCCACGGGGGATGGGTGTATTGTTGAGGGCCCGTCTGGGCAGAGGAATTGTTTAATACATGTTTGAAGGGAGGACAAGGGATGTGGGCAGTTCAAAGAAAACCCAAGACACAACGGTGGCCGGGGATGGTCTTTCTGGCAGGGCCTTTCCAGCCTCTGCTCCCAGACACAACCGGCCCGGCAACAGCAGGCCAGGATGGGGGAAGTCCTGAAGACCGTCCCAGGCCCCACTTGATTCTGCAAGTCACCCAACAGTAATAGCAGTTAAAAATTATCAAGAGCTTATTATATGCCAGGCACTGTGCTAAGTAAGCACTTCACATGATTCTATTTGTTTAGTTTTCAGAGTAATCCTGTAGGGTGATAACTCTTATTCCAATTTCACAGATGAGAAAAGGAGGCCCAGAGATTTGCCCTTGAAAACACTGGTAGTCAGTGGAGCAGGAATTTGAACCCTCCTAGACTTACCAGCCTCTGAGCTACTGCCCTACCGCACAAGCTGTAGTTCTTTTGTTTATTTATTCTACGTCTCCCCCACCAGCTTCTAAATTCTCGGAGGTTAGAGACATTGAGCTTTTTCTTCATTCACTCGGTTGTTTATTCTTTCACTCATTCCGTCCTCATTCAATGAATGGTTCCTAAGACCCGCGTCCAGGTGCCAGTCTGGGCACCGGGATGGGCGGCGCAGCAGCGAGCAAACGAAAGCCCCCGTGTTCGCGGAGTGTACCCTGTAGGGGAGGGAGAGAGACGACGAACTCATAGTTAGTTGATAAATACTAAGTCAGAGAGTAAACAGCACGAAGGGGAAGCAGAAAGCGGGTCAGGATGACTGACGTGCTTGGAGGCTCGGAGAGGTGACCCCAGGAGCACTCAGGGAGGGTCCCCCGTGGAGGAGACAAGGGCGTGGAATGCGCCGGGGGGTGCGGGGGTGGGGGGCGGTGCAGAGC